GTGAGTCCAGAGGGAAACGATGAATAGTATTTTAGATATGTTGTATTGGGAAGACAAAGATATTCATGTAGAAATCTCAGTACACAGCTAAGATACATTTTAGAAACCAGGAAAGAGGTAAGAGTTGGAAATAAAGATTTTGAAATTTTATCTCACATAAAATGAGTAGTGGAAGCAATAAAACTATTAAGCTCTTGGGGCACCTGGGTGGCTCAGCCAGTTAACCGTCCAACTCTTGATTTCAGCTCAGGTGATGCTCTCAGGGTTGTGAGCTGGAGCCCCACACTGGGCTCTGCACTCCCTGGGGAGTCTGCTTGAGATTCTCTCCTTCTCCCTCTGCCCCTCCCCCCACTCTGTCTCTCTCTCAAATAAATAAATAAATCTTAAAAAAAACAAACAAACTATGAAGCTCCCGAAGGGGGTGAAAAAGGACCATACTTTGGAAACCAGCAACGGTTGACAGTCAGAAGGGGAGAGGTGAGAGGGGAACCATGACAGGGTAGTCTCAGAGTTCACCAGATGAGTTTCAAGAAGAGAGTAGTCCGCCTTCTCCTTTCATTCCATATTCTGTCTTGGAGATCTCATTCCCACTCATTACTTAAATAACTACCCACCCACACACAAATATCACAAGGCCATACCTCGCATCTAACCTCTACACTCGGATTTCTAACTGCCTGATTTTACCTCCACCTGGATATCTCAAGGGCATCTCAAATTCACCATGTCCAAAATCTAACTCTGTCTCTCAAAATGTGGTCTTCTTCCAGTATTCCCTAGCTCAGAAAATGGCATCCAGTTGGAAAACCTAGAAACTTACAAATAATTCGTGACCGCTTTCGTACATCAACCCCAGCCAATTCATGGTCACGTCATTTAGGGTTTTATCCACTAAATCTCTCTATCTGTTCTCTCTTTGCTGTCTCTGGCTATTACCATCCTAGCCTAAGCCACAACCATCTACCGCCTAGAATACTGCAACTGCCTCCTATTTGGACTTCACATCATCTTGCCCACCTCAAATGCATTCTCCTCAATGCAGCCAAGATAAAATTTCAAATGCACACCTGGGTATGTCACATAACACTTCCCAATCTTCACTTTAGTGAGTTTCCATAGTTATTAGGACAGAGAGCAAAGTCTTTGTCTTGGCCTACGTGACCTACATAATCTGGCCCTTGCCTACCTCTCCAGTCTCATCTCTACCCTGTCTCTTTGCTGGTCTTTTTTCAATTTCTTGAATCTTCCAAGCTCCCACCCCCAATAGGCCTTTGCAAATGCTCTTCCCCCTGCCTAGAAATCTCCTTTCACCCCCATCTCTCCCCTCCACAACATTTCCCCTACTCATCCTTTAGCTCTTTGTTCAGTGGCACTATGTTAAATTTCCCCATTATTAGATGTTTTTATTAGACCATTTGCCTCTCCTTAGCACTGAACACAGTTGTAATTTTACAATAATTTGTGATTGTTTGATGTCATTTTCCTCAATCCAACTGGAAGCTTCATAAAGGAGGGGGATCATGTCTTTTTATGTATCATCAAATCACTAAGATATTGCATAGTATCTAACACAGGTATTGTGAAACCAAATAAAGGATACCTCATTTAAAATGGAGCTGAGGGGCCAGAAAGGAAAGGTCTCGTGTCCTACCACTACTCACTGTCAACTGTAGATCCCCAACAAGAAGAGATGTGTCTTGCATTCCCAACAAGAAGCCTATATTTGATTACACCAGAAAGATGAAGGAGGCTTTTCCTACAAGCCTTGGCAACAGCCTGGCCAATGAGAGACTATCACAACTCAGCCAATGAAAATCCACAATACTTCAAATTCCCAGTTTATCCCAATAAACTTTTTGCTTAAAACAGCCCCTCCCAACTTCCTCCTTTTCTTTATAAAAAGAACATTCCTCTCCTTTGTTCTTTGTACTTGCCCATCATTTTGCTATACCTTGCATGTCCCAAGTTGCAATCCCCAGCTATTCCCAAATAAACATGTTTTTGCTGGCAAAATAACTGACAGTTTTACTTTTAAGGTCAACAGTGTTCAATAAATATTTACTGAATAAATTATCAAACACTCTCAAAAAAAAAAATAATAAAAGAGGATGGGAACCGAGCAAAAATACTGGAGATGACCCTTAGGAAGATACTTAGCAACATCTGAGAGTACAGTTTGAATATACTGATGAGGGTGGAACAACAGCAATGAATATAGAGCAAGGACAAGTGTGGGGGGAGGGGTAGCAGCATCCAAAGAGCTGTTTTCATTTTGCTTTTCCTTAGGCCAGTGTTGTTCTATTTCCAAGACTAAAAGAAAAATGAATTGCAAATGTCAGAGACAGGAGATAAAGAGTCAGATAAGAGAGGGCTACTTTGAAGGAGTTGGAAAATGTCAGCAAAGGGGTGAGGTAAGCAAACATATCATAAAGGGGGGATTAACTTAAGCATGACAATATAACCAGCTGAAAGTAATATTTCAACACAAAGATAAAGATGCTGCTGGGTTAATAAACAGCTAAACCTAAGCAGGGAAAGCATCTGAAAGAGAGCTGAGCTATAACCAAGAGGTAAGGAAACCATATTAAACTGCATTAATCAGCAAAATCCAGATTATGGGAAACTCCACAGGACCAACAACATGGTTCCTTCAACAAAATGCACAAGAAGAAAGTGGAGGAGGAACTTATAAAAGAAACTTAAAAGACTGATCAACCAATCACAACGTGTGTACTTGATCGGATCTTGGTTCAAACAAGCAAAGTAAAGGAAAAAAGGGGGGGGGGGAAGGTAGAAAATTAAACACTGGCTATTTGATGATATTAAGGAAATACCTTAGATATTTTAGGTGTGATAATAGTATTGTGGTTATGCTTTTAAAAAGTCCTTTTTTAAAGAAATCATACAGTAATATTTATAGATTTCAGATGCCTGATACTTGCTTCAAAATAATACAAGAGGAGGTATGTGGATAGTGATGTAGAAGCAACAAGATTGATCATGAGTTAATAATTATTGGAACTAGGCACTAGGTTCATGGGGCTTCCTTATATACAACTTTTTTAGGTGTCTGGAAATTTCCTTAATGTTTTTAAGGATGCAATTTGGTTTTCAAGAATAGGATTTTTTTTCCCATATACTCTTATTTTAGATGGCCTTGGTTAAGGTTTCTTGACCTAGGTTCAATGGATTGCAGAGAATCATGAAGATTATTAAATCACAGCTAGGCAAATTTGGAGCATGAAGTGATCCACCAAAAAACAAGAATTGAGTTGAACAAAAGATAGCACTTGAAATATGACAGGAGTTAGATCCTTCAGGTTGTTATCGATTAAAGGTTTTCAAAGATCAAACTTTATCATAAAGGATAACAAGAAAATAACTGGGGGTGGAAATAAGGAGCACGTTGAATGATCAAAGCAGTAGGTAAGAAAAATGACTGCTCTTGTTTCTACAAATTGGGAAAATTTTGTCAAAGAAAAAGTCATACAGGTATAAGATGACCAAACTAGAACAAGGGACATTTGCTCATGAGGAAAGAAAAGAATGTGTGGCACTAAAGTAGTGTTGTTAGTGGAGATCTAGGCGTAAGGGTCATTCAAATCTTTACAACCTATTTTGTGCCATCTTTTTTATTCCTTTTTCTTCCCCCACAACAAATCCAAAGTGACTTAGAGGTCGTCCAAAGGCCCCGAGACTAAGGGGAAAAGTGTTTGGAGAAAAAGGATTAAATATTATACTCTCCCTCTCATTGAATCCTGGATTTAAGAAATAATATAAATTTGTCAACCAGCACCTGCCTATCTGTGTGAAGTGAGATACAGAACGCTCAGACGGGGGAGGACCAATTGTTTAGCTATGTTGCAGGACAGTGACTAGAATACTGAGTCCTGGGGACCTCTACGCATTTTCTTTTCTAGGTCTCATCCTCAGCGATTCCCAAAACGGGTACATATACCAAAAAATTTTTTTGTTCTTTAAAGAGTGAGATATGGAAAGGGGGGTAGACGGGAGCATTCTGGAGGAAAGCCGCGAGTGCTGTTCTAGCAAAGAAGTCAGTGTGGCTGGGGCACGGGTGCAGAGGGACGTCGAGAGGTGCAGAGGGACAGGAGACACAGCAGGGGGTCAAACAGCCTTGTGAGCCACGGAAAGGGCTCAATGCGCGCCTCGGTTTTTAAACAGAACCTGTGTGGGTCAGACCCCAGGTGGATCTGCTAAAGAGGCGGACCGCTGGAGATGGCTCCAGCTGAGCTCCAAGAGCCTTCCCTTCCGACGCCACCCACCCCCTCAGCCGCCTGGAGTTGGGAAGGGTGGAGACGCAGTCCACTCAGGTGGACTGAACGCTAAGGCGCCCCTGCCAAAACCCAGCTAACTAGCGTTAAATAAGTTTAAGGCGTCCCCTCCTTCCCTACCCGTGCGCCTGAAGGCGACGCAGATACGGTTCCGGGTAACGCGCCGGTGCAAGGCGGGGTTGGAGCACTTCCGAATCCATGCCTCAAATCCCGGGCTTTCTCCCGCCTGTGGGAGAAGGCCAAGAGAAAATGAGCACCAATCAGAATGTAGACGTGGAAGACGCTCTCCCTCAGAGCCAATAGGAGGGCTGGAGGGCGGTGCCGAGGGCTCGGGTTCGCTCTTCTGGTTTAAACCGCGGCTGCCGGGCGGTTAACTGCGGCCTCGGCGCGTGGGCGGGCTGTGCGCCTGCGCGAGCTACCGGACGCTAACGGAACCGTGCGTAGCTGCGCTAGCCGAGCGGTTGGACTCGGTGCCGCGAGCGGACCTCGGCGGGGCGGGTAAGCGGACAGGGGCTGGAATAGGGGGCGCACGGGCCCAGGAGGGCCGGCTGCCCGCTGCTGTGGAGAGGTCGGGTTTTGAACAGGGCGGAATGGGAGTTCCCCCCGCCCGGCGCGGCTGAAACGCCCGAGATCCTGCTGAACCCAGGTTTACTGCTCCCCAAGGCAGGTGTAAGCTCTGTCGTGCTGTGCCCTTGGAGTGCCTGCGTCCCTAGAGGTCACTGTGGGCGCCCGCGGCGCGTCCGGCGTCCACTGCCTGCCTGGTGGCTGCAGCGGTGGGCACGTCCCTGGCCCAGAGGGTGGCGGGGGCGGTGCCGCCGAGGGAGCCGGGTTCCCGGGAGGCCGCGAGCATCCGAGGCGACAACCACGCCCGGGGCCAGGTGGGCACACGATTGTCTTTGTTGTCGTGCGGGGACCAGAGTCTTCCCAACCCCTGGTTACGCCCTTTGTGAACTTCTGGGTGTAACCGTGCGTGCACCTCTCTTCCTAATGAGTTAGGATAGCGTGGAAAATCTAAGAACTCTATAGTCCTACCCCAGATGAAAATACACCTTTTTTCTGACTATAAAGTTATACAACCCCATTGTTTTTAGAAATAAATCCAATAAGTACGAACGTATAAAGAAAAAAAGGGAAGAAAATACTAGATATATTCCATCGGCCTCAGATAACCGTAAAAAAAGAAAACTTCATATTTGGGTTTCCTTCAGATATATTCGTTACGAGTATATATTTACATGATTATGCTTATAAAATATTTTTATATAATTGTCTATTTTGAATACAATAAAGCATATTCATTTTAAAAGCACATTGTGCCTTAGAATTTTCCGAACACGTGTCTGTCAAATACAGATATGCATTACCATTCTTAATGGATGTATGGTATTTCTTGCAGTTGCTGTACTGTACAGTATATTATTTAACCAATGCCCTAATGATGGACACCTGTTTTTCCAGTTTCTTCATCATAAAATAGCATGATGGTTGTTACATGTATGTATACATATTTGCATTCTTGTTCAGTTTATCTCCTTGGGGTAATTCTTGGAAGTGGATTATGGCTTAGAAATTGTGCAGTTTAAATTGTGATTCATAATGCTAAGCTGCCCTCTAGAAAAATTGATATCCTCCACCCACCCAGGCATACAGTGTAAGGGTGCTTTTTTCTCCACCCTCTAACTGGCACTGGATATTGAAAAATCTTACCAATCTAAAAGGGTATCTTAATGTGTTTGTGTTATTAATGAGATTAAACATCCTTTTCTATGTCTATTAGTCATTATTTCTTAAATAATCTGTAAATGATCTGTCTTTCCTCTATTCTGGTGTGTTTACCTTTTAATAGCTTTCTAAGAGGAATTTGAATTTGTCATTTTTAATCTGTTACAAGTGTTCCCCCCAGTTGGTTGTTTCTTTGGATTATGGTTGTCTTTTGTCAGTGTTTGTTTTGTTTTGTTCTAATGTTGTGGTTCTTTAAGCTGCATGCTTACCTCCCCAGAGTAGAGGAATTTGTTGTAACTCTGCAGTAGCCGCCCTGTAATGGTTAGAATCCAACTACTATCCCAGTTTAAAATCCTCCCCTTCCACCCTTGAAACCCTTTCACTTGCAACTACTAAGCCTGGGACACTGAGTTTCCCCAGATTGTTGAAGAGAAGGTACTGTTGGGTATTTTGGTCAATATTATCAGAATCTACAAAATATAAGCTGCTCTAGCTTCTATGTGAAAGTTTACCCCTAAGTAAAGGGAAAGGATTATCAGGTCTTTATAGAAAAAGAAAGAATGAACAGTTACCTGTGGGCCTTAGTAAAGTTTGTATTTTGTTATTTATAAATACCCATGTTCATACATTTAAGAAAAAGAATGGGAGTGTGCCATAATTTAAATGCAAAGAAGGGCGCCTGGGTGGCTCAGTTGGTTAAGCGACTGCCTTCGGCTCAGGTCATGATCCTGGAGTCCCTGGATCGAGTCCCGCATCGGGCTTCCTGCTCAGCAGGGAGTCTGCTTCTCCCTCTGACCCTCCCCCCATCTCATGTGCTTTCTCTCTCATTCTCTCTGTCTCTCAAATAAATAAATAAAATCTTTAAAAAAAATGCAAAGAAGATAACAGGTTAATCACTCTACAGTATAGTACATATGCCATAAAAAAATCTCTTTGGGCTTTTAGTGTTGGAGATCCTCCTAGCCCAGAGTCCTATTCCATTTCTATCCCTGCTTTATTATCTTTTTAATAGGTAGTTTTGTATTACATGAACATTGAAATAAATGGTGTAATACTTCTCACAAAGCACCATTTTATTTATATATATGTAGGTTACATATATATTACATGTTATATATTTATATATAACATGTATAATCTCATTTAAACCTCACCACCTATTGGAATAATTCCATTTTCCCAGAGAAGAAAGGAAGATCTAAGGCCTATTTCTAACAGTTATTAGTCCCTACCTTGAGTCAGAAGCTGAAATTTATAACAAATATTCCCTCAGATAACTTAGGTACTTTTGCAAAGTTACATTTTGGGATTCATCATTGCTTCATCTATGACGATTGTCCTGAGTTTATCTATAGTAACATGTTATCAAAAAATATTATCACTAAATACTTATTCTACTAGATTTGATAGTATAGTCTTGTTAACCTTGAAAGGATTTTACTTAAGATATAAGACCTTGATATAACTCCTTTGCTTCTATAGAATCTCCAAAGCATGGCTTTTTAGTTAGTGTTTTTTTGTCCCATGTATCATTTCTTTAGAGTTGATGTTTTTTATTTTTAATTTTTTTTTTTAAGATTTTATTCATTTGACAGCACAAGCAAGGGGAGTGGCAGGCAGAGGGAGAGGGAGAAGCAGGCTGCCCGACGTCGAGCTCGATCCCAGGACCCCAGGATCATGACAGGAGCTGAAGGCAGTCGCCCGACCGGCTGAGCCACCCAGGCGCCCTTACAGTTGATGTTTTTAAAATAGTGATTTCAGGGGCGCCTGGGTGGCTCAGTCGTTAAGCGTCTGCCTTCAGCTCAGGTCATGATCCCAGAGTTCTGGGATCGAGCCCCGCATCATCGGGCTCTCTGCTCAGCGGGAAGCCTGCTTCTCCCTGTCCCACTGCCCCTATTGTGCTCTCTCTCTGTCAAATAAATAAATAAAATCTTAATAAATAAATAAATAAATAAATAAATAAATAAATGGGGATTTCATAAACGCTGTTCTCGTTCCAGGTTTTTCTTTAATTCAAAAACTAATGGCAGTGGAGGTACACTGAAATAAGGTAGGAAGTTGAAAAAAATGAAGTGTTTTGGTTTGTCCTTACATCAAAATAAAGGAGAAAGCAATACTTTAAGAACATTCAAGGCATTATGAAATGTTGGCAAATCAGGTTCCAAAAACCAATGACCTGATTCAAAATCCAGATGACCTGGATTGTGCAATTGGCTAGTAAGAATAAACCTTAAGTTATTTTGTACCACAATTTTTCCATCTCTAAAATGAGGATCTTTTCCAGTTCCTACTCTGCTAGAATGTAAAAGCTATTATGTGTCTTCTTTAGTACTACAAGGTCACTTGACTTTAACTTACACTATTTTACATCCTAAACCTGGAACTTTTTCAGTTAAGTCTTGTTTCCGTGGCCCACCCACTACTAAGCTTCTGTGGCATTTACACAGTCTCAGTTTACTCTATATGTTAATATTGTTTGTAATTATCTCGTATGTTGTCTTAGCCAGCAGCTTGAGAATATAAACCATATTTGTATCCCTATGGTTTTGAACCTAAGTAGGAACAAACTGTTTGTTGATGGGTAAGTAAAACTTTGAATCTCGAACATACAGTATAATTATTTCATAAATGTACAGAAGTATTACACTCTGCAGTGATGAAAATTGTTATTGAGGCAGAACGTCTGAGTTCATTTGATGTTTATTATTTTAATGGCTATAAGAGCTAATGTATCATTTTAAAAGAACTTTGAACTCTTTTGAGTAAATATTGGGGTTAATAATATTTTGAGGATTACTTCTCATCTTTGAGAATAAAGCCCCACCTTATTTTCCTGACCGTTGTGTCTCAGATGTGCTTAAGTCTGAAACCTAGGTGTTATCGTGAAAGCCTCCCTACTTTTGAACCTCTCGTTCACTCAACCATAAAACCCTGTTGCTTCTCCTTTCTTAATTTCAAATTCATCTACTTCTTTCCATCCCTCTTACTACAAATCTAGTCTAGGCCATTATCATCTAATTCTTTGATTACTCTAACAGCCTCCTAACTGGTCCCACTGTCTTGCCCTCTTCCAATCCACACCAGAGCAGTATTTTTGCTACACAGTCCTGGCTTGTTTTTTTTTTTTTTTTTTCCAGTTGGCCCTCCAAATAAAAATTAAACCTTTTTTAGGAAGGCCTACATGACTCTACAAACATGATCCTTGGTTCCTTTTCTAAACTATGCTCTTGTCAGTGTCAAGCTGTACTCCTGTATTTACAGTTACCTGCAGGTAAATCTCTCAAGCTTTATACAAACTGCATCTTCTGCCTCGGACACACTTAAAGTTCTGCTTCTTTATCCCCACTTTGACGGGCTCCTACTTGTTCTGCAAGATTTAGCTTGGAAATCTCTTTATAAGAATTCTCCTACACCACTACATCAGGGGGTGGTAAACTCCATGGCCTATTTTTATATGGCCCCTGAACTAAGCTAAGAATGTTTTTTTACATATGTAAAAATGTTGTGAAGAAGAAAAAGATGGGGGCACCTGGGTGGCTCAGTCAGTTAAGCATCTGCCTACAGCTCAGGTCATGATCCAGGGTCCTAGGATCCGAGTTCCCAAATCGGGCTCCCTGCTCAAGGGGAGTCTGCTTCCCCCTCTCCCCCTTCCAGCTGCTTGTGCTCTCTCTCTCAAATAAATAAAATCTATATAAAAATTAAAAAAAAAGACTGTGTAACCAAGACCATTTGTGGCTCACAGCACTAGACTGATAAGCTTTGTAAGAGATGCTGTGCTTTTATTCAGTTAGGTCACTTTCAGGTAGTGTGCCTTTCGTAAACTAATGTACGAAATATTTAACTGACTAAATTTCTTATTTGTAATTTCTCTTAAAAAATAAGACACTCAGGCAAAGCTCTTTGGAGAATTCAGATGAGTAATGAATATTTCATTTGCTTTTTAAAAAGACAGCATAACAGATTAGACACTTGCAGAAGCAGGCTTTAATGAATTTGAACACAAGGCACAGGTTTCCATGTGTATGTAAACTCCTCTCCATTTCACAATTGCTTTTTGCTGCTTCTATCTCTTAATCCTTCTGGGGAAAGAATGAGAATGTTTGAACTCTTTTTCAAGCTAGAACTTCCTTTATAGGGCTTAATGGTCTTTGGGTTTGGGAGGGGGTGTTTTGTTTTTTTTTTTTCAAAGAACTGATCATCTGAATTTTAGGACTTCTTGAAGTACATATTATCTTGTATTTCTTTTCTATTCACCTACCACTAGCTAGTTGTTGCCTCCTAGATCCTGTTATGGTTAACTGATGCTTTTAATTTCTGTATCAACACAGACTCTCTTTGTTGGTTTCTCCAAAAGAGTATTTTCTTCCTCCATTGTATCATTACAGTCCCTTTTGGCTTTTGTTTCTTCCTCATGGAATAAATGTGGGTGCTCAATGCGTCCCCTACGTACAAAATGCTGGATCCGGGTTTCTAATCCTTGGCATTTGGGACGATCCATTAGGGGTTTATATGTGCGCATTTTCACTCCTTCTACAAAGGCACTGGTCTGCTTTATGACAGAGGGCTTAACATTTCTCCATTCTATCACTCCATCCATCTTTGGTCCTATAATATATACAATCAGATATTACACGGATGCTTTACCACAATAGAATCACCTCCAAACTTTATATAAATCTACCTCTCCCCATGCCCCACATAACTTTGGTTCTAGTAAATAACTGTATCCTAGGATTTTCCTGTCATACCTGTCCCACAGGGTACTGCAATGGAGTCCAGTCCTTGTAGCATGCTATACAACATGTGTGTTTTAACAGCATGATTAGCCCATAGTTGTTGTAGATGGGTAACATTGAACTCCTGAACCTCCCGGTCATAAATCCACTTAATATTTTCAAACTTACAATCATACAAGACTAGAGGAAATTCTACGGCCATACTAGAGAGAAAAAGAGACAAGAAACAGTATGAAAATACACAGCAGCCATCCAACAACCTTGTATTTTAAGATGGGGGAGGGTAGGTAATCGGGTTAAAAGAAGGGGAAAAACTTTGTCAGTATTGATAACAGATTAAGGAAATAAAAAGACGATCCCTAACCTTGAACAACTTTATAATTAAAAGCAAAAAAAATCAAACCATGGATCACCCAGTTAGGCTTGATCTATATTAGGGTAAATTTCAGTGGTAACAGGTCACCTGGAAGTGAGCTGACTTGTCTCAACCATAATGCTATAAAATGATTTTTATATTTTTCCAAACTTGTTAATTTTGTATGGTATGAAGTAAAAAGTAGATCTCATTGCTTAGGAATGAATTGTTGGCTTATCTGACCTCAGCCTCCTCTCAAAAGAAAAGTCTGACTATTCTTCCCATCTTTCCTACCATTTTAGACACTGAAAATTAGGAAAAATTCAAAAGTACAATAGTATCACTACCCAATAATATAAAACAAGGAAGATTTAATATGAATAGTTTGCTCACTTTTAAACTTCACCTAACAGAACCTAACAATAATACCTCTCAACATAAATTCAGGGGAAAAAAAATTTAGAAATGAAGGTTATTTTATTTAAGGGGCCTGGTCCAAACACCTGTTTCTTACTAATGGGACAGAACAAGAGAAGAAAAAGATAGCCCTCCTGTGTGTTCATAACATTCTACAAGATAGATTAAATTCTTCATGAAGACAAAATAAGTGACCTAGTTAATCAGACAACTGTTGGGAGAGGAAGATATGTTAACCTTCAATCATTTAAAATATTTAATATATTTAAAAATATTCTAAAGGCAACACTTGTTTTTTTGTTTGTTTCGTTTTTAACTTACCTGTACTGAGGTTTCTGTGGGTTTTTCTCTATGTTCAGCAGCTCATCAATAATCTCTGGCTTCTCCATTCCTTGGCCAATCAGAAAAAGGATAGCCATCATACAGCGGACTTGATGATAAAGGAATGCCTGCCCAGTCACTTCAAACTGACATAACTGGAAAGGTTCTTGCCATCTCTCATTATCCAGGCTCTGGCCCACCAGCTGTACTTGAGCAGACAGAATAGTCCTCTGAAAATTAATGACTCCATTGGCTACATCCATTTTACATAAGTTCCTAAAATCATGTGTGCCAACATACTTCTGAGCTGCATAGTTCATGGTTACAATGTCTAAATCAGCACGAGGGAAAAAATAGCGGTAAGTCCGCTCCAGACAGCTGAATCTAGCACTGAAGCTGGGTTCCACAGGGGCCCAGGCCAGTACACGGATGTCTGGGGGGAGTACCCGATTGAGAATGTGGGTATAGCGAATCTCTTTAGCAGCATCGTTGATTTCATCTTTTACATTAAAACCCTCTGAAGTCCTGCCCTTCAGAAAGTGAGAACGAAGGTCAAGAGAAATCACCTGTAGAATTAAAAAGAGATGTTTGTGTTGGAGACACAATCTGAACTCTTAATATGTACACCTAGAAGATGTTGGTATTGCTTACTTTGAGAAAGAGTATAGTGGCCCTTACCTGTCCAAAGGCACTAACTCCTTTGTCTGTTCGCCCACACCGGTGATAGTTGGATGTCTGTCTGCTTTCTACTAGTCGAGTCTTGGTTAGAGCCTCAAACAGTTTCTCTTCAATTGTATTGTTTGTGTTTTCCTGACTGGCAAAGCCCTGGTATCCCCAGCCCAGATAGGCTATCTTTAGGGCTACATGTCTTCGACCATGAGCACTGAAATCAAATGCACGCTTAGCTTTTCCAGCTCCTAAAGAATTTTCTCTAACGTGCGAGTTTTTGTTGTTGGCCTGTTCTTTTTTAAGTCTTTGTACCTCCTGCTCCAGTTCTTGTACTCTTTTTAGGAGTTTCTCAGTCTGGATTCTATCTATGTCATTTTCAGCCATGATAAGACAACCAACCCCAGGAATAAAGGAATCATATAGGTCCACTTGACCTGAAAAGAGAGTAAAAGGATAAAAGTTTCAATGTGGATTACTTTGGTGATGTCAGTGTCATTCCATTATGTGCAAATAATACCTAAGATTTAATTTAATGCCTAAAGGATATATTTTGCTTCTGTCCAGGGAGACAAGCATTAGCCTAATTGTTATGGGTTGATCATCCACAGATACTCTTCTTTTCCATCCTGTCTGGCCAGTTCACAGGGGAAGAGGAGGGGGGAATAAGAAAGAGCTAGTATCGTTAAAGTTTAATCAGGGAAAATGTAGATCCCGTTTCTCTCTTTTTCATTAGCTGAGATTATTTAAGGACTGATGTTACTGATATTTCTTCATTAAAACATTTCCTTTTGACTTTTCATTACACTTGTCCAATCTTTTTAATCATAAAATCTGTTCATATAGAATATATGTGTCTATTTTTTTTCTAATTTTCCAATATTTCAGATAAAATTAGTGGCTTGTATGTTCGAACATGTAACACTCAGCTCTGTCTTAAAGGTGCTACAGTGGAGACTAGCCTGATTGATGAAACTTATCAATGATTGTACTTCATATTGGATATAGAGCCTGAAGTCGAGATTTTCCCAATATAAGCAGTTTTGATGGCAGAAAAAAGGTAATTAAGCATCATGATCCTTTTTTTAAGTCAAATTTATGTTCTGTTACCTCCAGCAGTTAGAAAAGTCAGTCAGGAAAATGTAATTAAGATGTTGAAATTCCTGTAGTACAAATGTACTACATCCTTAAAATTGGGACAGTGCTAGACAATCTATGACTGACAGTCACTTTAGTTATGGATTATCTCCAAATCTCTTCTAAGGCCATGTTATCTAATTCTTGGTAGCTCATTTAGTTTTTAGCCTTTGAGAGTTTCTTATATCTATGATAGATTAAAAGTTTAAATACAAAAAAAATGAAACTATAAAAGTACTAGAAGAAAACCTTTTTTATAGTCTTGGAATGGGAAGGGCATTTCTAAGTAAGATCTGTAGAATCGCAGAAACTGTAGAAAACCAAAATTGTGACTACCTGAAATTGAAAGTTGTACCAGCAAAAAATAAAATCAGAAGGTAAACAACAAACTTGGAAGAAAAATAATTATGGCAAAGGGCTAATTTGCTTAATTAAGAAGTATTTTATGAATATATACATTAGTTTTAATTTAAGGATCAAAAAGTCCAACAACCTGAGAGGTAAATGGGAAAGGAAAAGCATTTCATACAAAAAGGGGGGGAAAAAAGCTTATAAAAATATATGAAAAGTTGTTCAGGTGTACTCAACTTAAATGCCATTCATATGAGAACTATTTTTTACCAAACTGACTGCAGAGAAGGTTCGATAGTGCACCACTTTGGAGAGGGAATGAAGAAAAAACAGGCTCTGGAAGATGCCATCAGTACAGCTTCTTCAGAGGGCATTTGACAACAGCCAGCAAATTGAGCACACACATCTTTTGACCCACCTACTCCATTTCTAGAAATTTTACACATACACTTGCACAAGTATGAAAAAACTTAAGAAATACTCATTGTAACATTCGTTTTAACAATCTGTAAGCTAAATTAAATCAGGGACTGAATGAATAAATGGTGGTATATCCATACGTCAGAATTCTGTGCAACTTTAAACAAAATGAAGGAAGTCTACATGTCCTGATAGAGCTGGATCACCAAGACTGTCTTTAAGGTTCAGAAGAGTTGTATAATATGCTCCTTTATGGTGTAAAAATGTACATGTGAGGGGTGCCTGGGTGGCTCAGTTGTTAAGCGTCTGCCTTCGGCTCAGGTCATGATCCCAGAGTCCTGGGATCGAGCCCCACATTGGGCTCCCTGCTCCGCGGGAAGCCTGCTTCTCCCTCTCTCCCTGCTTGTGTTCCCTCTCTCGCTGTGTCTCTGTCGAATAAATAAACAAAATCTTAATGTACATGTGAATATGGAAAGATTTTTACTAGAGAAAGCATAAGAAACTGCCTTTGAGAGTGAGACTTGGGAAGGGGAAGGGAGATCCTTACTTAAATTACATGTGCAGGACAGCATAGGAAAATAAAGTCTGTGGTATTGTAATAATAGCGTTTTTTGGTGACAGATTGCAGCTATACTTGTGAGCTTAGCATAATCTTGTCAGATGTACACCTGAAACTAATGTAACATTGTATGTCAACTATATTTTATTTTTAAAAAATTACCATGTGCATGTACTAGTTTTTCAGTTTAAAAAGAAAAATTACAGGGTATAAAAATCCTTTAAAAACAATAACAAAAAAGAAAAATTGTAGGGATATAGGAAACAGTGGGCAGTAGTTATCTATCCTAGATCCAGTAAGGAAACTAGCACCGGTATTTGGTTGATTTGGGTTCTAAAATTTATTTCAGTGACAGGGTACCGGGATGAACAGATTTAGCCTGGCAACTGAAGACGTATTAAAATTACTTAAACATAGAGGGGCAACTGGGTGGCTCAGTTGGTTAAGCATCCTACTCTTGATTTTGGCTCAGGTCATGATGTCATGGGTTGTGAGATCAAGCCCCATGTTGAGCTCCATGCTCAGCGCAGAGTCTGCTTGTCCCTCTCCCTCCTCCCTTCCACTTGTGAGTGCGTGCGTGGGTGCTATCTCTCAAATAAATAAAATCTTTAACAAAAAATTTCTTAAGCATAGGAGTGTTTATATGTATATCACTGCTTTTGTGATGGTTTTGGATTATGTCACTCATAGTCAAAAGGACTCTGAAGCCAGACTGCCTGAGTTAGACTTCCAACTCCACCTCTTACTAGCTGTGTAACCTTGTGCTATTTAACCTCTTTATGCCCCATGTTACTCATCTTTTGAAAGTAGATAATAAGAGCACCAGTTCCTCACCGGTGAGGATTACATAAATTAATAAATGTTAAGCACATAGAACAGTGCTGGATATATAAAGTGTCCCCCTAAGTGTAAGCTGTATAATGTCTATTAAGCATTATGCCCCATATCATGTCGCAAGTTTTGTTTTTTGTTTTCTTTAAGATTTTATTGAGAGAGAGAGAGAAAGAAGAGCGTGAGGAGGGAGGTGGTTACGGAGATAGAGAATCTCAAGCTGACTCTGCAGACACAGGGCCTGATCTCAAGACCCATGAGGTCATGACCTGAGCCAAAACCCAGGAGTCAAACACTTAACCAGTTGAGCCACCCAGGTGCCCCAAGTCACAAGCTTCTATAATGCCAGAACTCACCTGTCCTGTCCTTGGAGCCACTAAAGGTAGCAGGAACTGCCAGGCATTAGAAAGTGGGAGCAAATAAGAAGAGAGTGGAAATGAAAGCAGATGATGGCTTCTGTGGAGCTGAGTTAATGCTCCTCCAAACTGCTACCATATGACCCTGTACTATAATCTATATTTTATAACTATTAGTTTATGATTGCCTTAGCCATTCTTTCTTCATCTGACTACAATAAAATAGGGAATTAATAATTTAAGAACTGGGAATTACCAGAAATCTGATCAGTATTTTTTCTTGCAGAAGGTCCTACAGTGGAGGGGAAGCAATGGAGGAACTCATGGGACCCAATGTACAAAAATGGGCCAATGTAGATCCAGAAGAACGAATGTTGGCAGCCGCTACAGCTTTTACTAATATCTGTGCAGGGCAGGGTGAGGGAGATGTCAGGAGAGATGCCCAGCCTATCCAGTATGATCCCTACAGTAAAGCTTCAGTAACCGCAGGAAAGCGACCTACTCTTCCTGTGCAACTGCAGTACCCACATGTAGAAAGTAATGCAGCTTCAGAAACATTCTCCGAGGCCTCCCAAAGACTCCGAAAGCCAGTGATGAAGAGAAAGGTGTTGCGAAAGAAGCCAGATGGGGAAGTATTAGTGACCGATGAGTCGATTATCAGTGAATCAGAGTCTGGTACAGAGAATGATATGGATCTCTGGGACTTAAGACAAAGGCTCATGAGTCTACAGTTCCACGAAGATAGGGAATCCCCAGATGACATTTCACAAAAATTTAATTTACCACATGAATACCAAGGAATTTCTCAAGATCAGCTCATTTGCTATCTACGAAGAGAAGGAATGGGCCCTCCGGCTTATGAACAAGACCTGATTGTTGCCAGCCGACCCAAGTCCTTTATTCTCCCAAGGCTGGACCAGCTGAGCAGAAACCGGGGCAAGGTAGACCGGGTAGCCCGATATTTTGAGTACAAACGAGACTGGGACTCAATGAGGTTACCTGGTGAAGATCACAGAAAGGAATTACGCTGGGGTGTGCGAGAGCAGATGCTTTCTCGAGAACCCCAGTCCAAGCCTCAGCACATATATGTTCCAAACAATTACTTGGTGCCAACTGAGAAGAAAAGATCTGCCCTTCGCTGGGGTGTTCGCTGTGACCTTGCAAATGGTGTCATGCCCAGGAAGCTTCCCTTCCCTCTTTTTCCTTCTTAAATATTTTTTTTTAACGTCTTTTATGGGATTGTTTGGGGGTAACCTGGTTCTTTATCTCTGTCCTATTTAAATAGAAACAACTAACTTGAAAGCCCATGGAACATTATACAGTAAGGACTTCACCCATCATTGGTCTTTCCTAGGTGTGTACATTGGTATCAAATACCACTTCACTTCCAAATTACCACTCTCAAATCCACTAATTGCAAGAGAAGTCATGCCAAAGAAAGAAAAACGGACATAGTCTTTCCACTTTGTCAGCACCGTTTCTGTTCTCTACAGTTGTTAACCTTTGGCCAATGTGAGTTGCTGTTTTTAAAGTTGCTGGGCATTAAGCTTATTCATTAAAGAATTGGGATTTTGTGAACTTGATCTTATTTTTACTTACTAATACTTCGCAAAGTAAGATGATCTCAAAACTGGGTTATGACTCTGCCTCCAATCATTACTCCCCATCACACTCTCACCACTTAAATATTGAGAGCCAAAGGAAAGGAACAAAAAACTGTTTATGCACACAATCCTAAAGGAACAAAGAAAAGTAACATATCTCCATTACTAAAGGAACATAGTAAATCCAGAAAATTTAAATGTTTTTTAGTAGATAATAACAGTATTACATGACATACAGGATTCTAACCCAAGTTTTATTTCAGAATTACTTCAATAATTTATTGCCCTCCAGTTGTCACTTCTAGAATACCATGCTTTTTATAATTTGCCACTGAGATTTTCTTGGAGATGATGCCTGTCACTGAAAAAGAATTTACTAAATCTGGAACCAGATGTAGACACAAATACCAAAATGAACATGGCATATTTGGGTGCAGACCAAAACAGTAATTCTGTTCACCTTAAACTGGATCTATTCTTGATGCTTCTAATCCAGTGAGGATTATCTAAAATCTGGAGGTTGTGTTTTAGCATCTGAAGCCATTAGAGTGACAGCAGAAATAGTTTGCTTGTTGAAGGGAAAATAGCTATACAATGTAGAAATGAGTTACTTTGACCATTACTCTCTGCTAAAATATATCCTCTCCGTAATATTCAAGCTGCATCATTCATCCGGTTCCACTGTGAGACATTTATCAGGAAAGAAAGAATCAGTGACTCAAATATAGATGTAGGATCTGCTCACTGCAAATAAGTAAAAACTGCAAACTATCCAACAATAGTGAAATGATTCAATGGAGTATCAGTCATTGAAAATAATGGGAAGCTAATGAAAAAGTGCAAATTAAATGAAACAGGTTGTGAACTATACGATCACAGTCATGTGCACATACAAAGCACAAGGAAAAAATCAAAATGTAGTGGGATTAAAGGTTTTATGCTTTTAAAAAACTTAAAAACCACATGGCATTTTTATATGCAAATTACACCAAAGACTTAACTCCTTTAGATTATCTCAAAGCCCAATAATTACCAACGCAAGTTTCCAGAGATTACCTAGTTTAACCCTTTTTAACCAAAGAACTAGTTCAAAGGGTTTAAGAGGTAGTTAAGATTTGTGGCAAAAAGAGGACTTGAGCCCAAGACTCATGACCCAGTAGAGCTTCCTCCAGCACACCCTAAGCTGACCTAACGCTTGGAAAGGGGCTGCCAAATTACCACAACGAGGGAATTGGTGTGTGCGCTGAGCATCGACTGTAAACAAGCAGCTATCGCTAGAGTTTCAATACATTTTTAAAAATTTTTTATTTATTCATTTGAGACACAGAGATGGAGAGCGTGAGCAGGGAGAGAGGCAGAGGGAGCGAGAGAAGCAGGCTCCCCGCCGAGCCAGGAGCCCGATGTGGGGCTCGATCCTAAGACTCCTGGGACCATGACCCGAGCCGAAGGCAGACGCTTAACCATCTGAGCCACCCAGGCGCCCCTCAATACAGTTTTTGAAGTTAAAAGATTTAAATCTCAAAATATTTGTAACTAGTAGAGTAGGAGAACGCATTTTCCATGATAAACCTTATTTTAAAACAAAGAGGGAAGGAGGAGGAATAGCCATAAGGATCAGGAGACACGCACTATTTATCAGTAACAGTGAAAAGCAATCTCCTAATTTGAAAAAAGTCGCCTCGCCTCCCTCCCCACATACTACCGGAATCCTGACCTCTACCGGTATTTAGTTTTATGAGCAAACAATTGTGAGGCAGCCGACTTAACTACAAGTCCAAGGGCCCTCTAAGAATCGAATTGAAGTTTCTACTGCTGTGAGTTTCTGCCAGAAGCTGCAAAAAGCACCAGATGCAAAAACACGGTCCTAAGCAAGATCCCACTTCCACCCATCAATGCTTTGAAGATCAAGATACGGAAAAGGGGAAAAAAAGGTCCAGCTGTTTGTCCATTTATCCGTTCCTCTTTGTATAACCCAGAAAATAATTCATCCCCAAATCCCCTTCCTTACCTTCCGGTTGTCGACCACGCAGCTTTTAGCGAGACAGGAAGCCTGTCTCTTTGCGTCTTCCGCGCGCGCGCCCACAGTCTCATGGGAAATGTAGTCCACCCTTGTGGGAAATGTAGTGCCAAGAGACGGAGGTGTAGGCTTGACGCTGAAATCTGCCTAATATTTTCTAGTCTGGCCACCACTTCTCCACCTCCGACAAAGCAGAATCTGGGGCCTATAATAATACAAGAATAAAAGGATAAATTCTAGTGCGATAAAATAACGGAAAAGCAGTTTTTCAAATGTCTGCTATCCTTATGTGAAATTAGCATTAAAGAACCTGGACCGATTTTATACCTACTCAAGTTAGTAGAAAGTTATCATTGCGAGAGAAAAACATTTGCTGTTAGGATCCACATGTGAAGTTTGAAAAGGAATTTGATAACCTCAAAACAAACGATTGAGGTGCCTGGGAATGACCGAACACAGAGGGGGCGTCTTGCTTCAGCACCACGGAGAGATCATAACTAGGTTTTTGGTTTGTGGGTTTTTGCAGAGATGCTGATCTAAATCTCAAGATTCCAGTTAGAAAACTGAAAGAAATCTAGTTCTTCTGTCCAAATTTAACAATCAGTAGTACAAGGAATCTATGGCAGATTATGCAGATACGGGTAGGAGGTAGAGGTTGTACCGCAAGGAAAACCGTTATCTCAGGATTGCATTAGCAAAAGGGCATGTACCAGCATTAAAATTAAAACAAGCCGGTATGTGGAAACATCACAGGTATTAGAACAGGGGCAAAAGTTAGAACCTGAACAACTTTACTTCCTCTTCTCATCTTTCTCATTTGAATTAATTTGTCAGGTGAAACTCACCCATTTTGACCCTCTACTTTCCTATGAAATTCTCTGGTCTTTCTGACATCTAGTAACGTAGAAGCGGATATTTCGGGGAAGCATGGGCAGGAGTGCTTGAAGCCACCGGGCGGGGGCGGGGAGCGGGAAGGGTCCAGCCTCACCGCCCGGAGAATTGCGTAGTAAGTGGTGGGTAAGGGAGGTAGGTCTCTCGAATCAGTGCGAAAATTGCTGCGGCTTAGAATCTCAAGCTGTTGCTGGCTTAGCAGAGGTCAGGAGCAGGCGAGTGTTCACGACACTGGCGCCCCGTCTCGGGTTTCTAACACCTGGCGCCGAGGCGCGGCTGGTCAAGTGCAAACTTGCCTCTGAACGCTGTTCTCCTTCCCCCGCAGCCCCCACCTCCTCTCCTGGCTCCGCCCCCCTCTCTGGAGCTCCCGCGCCTGCGCGCCGCGCCGCGGGTGGTCGCGGGCGCGTCAGCCTGCCCCCAGAGGAAGCCCATTGGCCGCTGGCTGGAGCCGGGCGCTGCCTCGTGCCGGGGGAGGGCGCACGTGCTGGGGGCGATAGCTGCGATCGCGGCTATGGCGTCGTTACTTTGGGGAGGCGACGCCGGGGCGGCGGAGAGCGAGCGGCTGAACAGCCATGTAACCGCCGCTGAGCCGGGGAGGGCAAGTGGGCGGGGGCCAGAACCGCGCTCTGAGAGGGAGATCTGCCAGGGAGGGCGGGAGGAGAGAGCCCCGCTAGCGTGTGGGATGGGTGTCAAATGGTGCAGGGGAGATGTGGCAAGGATGTGGGGAGGGCCGGGGGCAGGAGACCCCGAGAGAGACACGAGACCTTTGGTTTGAAAGGGCGAAATGAAGACCCCTAGAAGTCCCGGGAGAGAAAGCAGCTGGTAGTCCCAACTAGACCTTGGAGTTTTCTGCTCTCCCAATTTGACCATTGGGCCTCGGCTAGCTTCCATCTTACCGACCACCACGCTTTGCTACCCACATCCCTTCCTCGTGCTGTGACCCCCAAGGACTGCCACATTTAGATTAGAGGACTGTAAAGAGGCACTTAAGGTACAGGGGCAGCAGAAAGTCTCCTTCGATTTTAGCATAATTCATAGCGGTGACCTATTCCTGAAAAGAATCCAGTGTCAGAATTAATACCTGACACTGCAAAGGAGACAATATTCGGGTGGGTCCCTCCCTGCTAGGGGGGTGCACTGGGCTGCTTGGTGGCTTGCTTCCTAATATTGGTTGAAATTTGTGTCTTTTCAATAGTTTTCAAACCTCATCCATCCCCGGAAGAACCTTCGGGGTATTAAGAGTACTACAGTCCCAAACATAGGTGAGTGCTATTAGATAAAGCAGATTGGCTTTTTATTAATTAAAATTAATTTTATTTATTTATTTATTTATTAAAAAGCATTGCTTTCCTCAGGTCCCTGGCAACTGAAATGCCTCTGGCTCCCATTAACTGTCAAGGTCCTCCACTACCTTCCCAGTCTTTTAACCCACTCCCTCATTGAATGACCCTTGCTGTCAGTGCATACTGTGGAGATGGTGAGATACTGGGATCATACACTTTAAATTTCTGTTTGGTATTTATTGTTTCTCTTCCATTCTTTTAGATGGTTCTATTAATAACATGGAAGAAGATGTTGAAGAAGATGTAGGTAGGAGATAAATTTATTTGTGTGTAACCTAGCACTCTGTATCAGTTAATCATGATTTTTCACAATGTGAGCGAATAATATAATCTCAATTGGAAAAGAACTGTCTTCTGTTTTCTTTATAAATAGTGACTATCAGAAGAAATACTAAATGAGGAGTAGGCCATATTTCTTTAGGGGAAGTTGAGATGGAATAATGCAGCAATGGGTTAAGGGTTTTCAGCTGGCAAGGAAAAATTAGGTCTGGTGGTGATAGATGTAGGCTTGCTCAAGGTCAGAGGTTGGTATAGCAGCAGAGCATAAGAAACTGGATTCTTGTGTAGAAAGGAATTCTCAGTGTTGTCATTCTTTCTAGAACCTCCTTTTAGAGGGAAGATGAGAGTAGGAGCAGTTGCTTGACACACAGTCTCTGATTGGGAAGGAGCAATTTATTAGATTCATCTAGGAGGCTAGATTTTCTCCTGCAATATCTCCTTTTTAATTTTTGCTTTCTAGTGGATTTGGCAGCTAATTCACTCTTAAACAAGTTAATCCGGCAGTCCTTAGTGGAATCCAGTCACCGAGTTGAAGTCTTACAAAAGGATCCCAGCTCTCCACTCTACTCAGTGAAAACATTTGAAGAGCTGCGGCTGTGAGTATTTTTACTCATTTATTAGGGGGAAATTCCAGAAAGAATGGTACAGAACAAAAGAATCTAACAATAAAAACTCTCAGAATCCCCTTCATGTTCTAATAGTCAATATTAAAATGAGATGTGTACATTTTGCATGCAGTTGAAATATTCAAAAAGGAGGACTAGGGTACCTGAGTGTGCAGCAAATTGAGAACATCTTGATGGTAAAATATTTTAACCTTGCCATGCTAAGGGGGGTAGTTAAGCTCAACACAGCCATATTGCTATTCTCCGTACCATAGTATGGATATAGGGACATTGATGGCCCACATACCCTCCCTCACCCCCTTTAGATAAGTTATAAGCTTTTAACTTCCTAATTATATTTTGTTTCAGATGGTATTAAAATGAGTAACTTTCCCAAATGGGTTTGCATTTCCTAGGGATCTATCAACTAGCATTAAGGAACTGCATTTTAACAGGAAGAGTTACTGATAGGGACCTATGTAGAGGGGAAATATCCAAAATCCCAATGCCCCAACATTTTCTAAGTGGAAGAAGCAGCTTACCTATGATTAACAGTTGGCTGCCAGTAATCTGCCAAGTAACCAAATACAAAATATACATGTTGTTGAAGGTGGAAGTGTTCCAACCTAATTCATTTTCTCTTCTTTCCATCAACTATCATGAGACCCCAGGAAAGATGCATTTAAAAATGCTGGCTCAGGGGTGTGTGGGTTGCTCAGTCGGTTAAGCATCCAACCCTTGATTTCAGCTCAGGTCATGATCTCAGCGTTGTGAGATCAATGAGCCCTCCGCTGGGGTCTCCGCTGGGCATGGAGCCTGCTTAAGATATTCTCTCTCTGCCTCTGCCTCCCAACCCAACCCCCACTCATGTGTTCTCACTCTCTCTCTCTCTCTTTTAAAAAAAAAAAAAAAATGTTGGCTCAGAAGGATGAGGTAGTATTGTGTCTTCTGCTCCTAGACAGAACTGATGTAAGAATTACCTCAATAAAATTTTGTCTTCTCTGAAAATTACTTTAAAGAATCAAAGATTGTCATTAATTAAAAAAAGTTAAACAGTGTAGGCATCTGGCTGGCTCAGGTGGAAGAGCATGGGACACTTGATCTGGGGGTCATGAGTTCGAGCCCCATGTTGGGTGTAAAGATTACTTAAAAATAAAATCTTTTTTTTTTAAAGATTTTATTTATTTATTTGACAGAGAGAGACAGAGCAAGAGAAGGAACACAAGCAGGGGGAGTGGGAGAAGGAGAAGCAAGCTTCCCGCCGAGCAGGGAGCCCGATGCGGGGCTCAATCCCAGGACCCTGAGATCATGACCTGAGCTGAAGGCAGACACATAATGACTGAGCCACCCAGGCGCCCCTTAAAAATAAAATCTTTAAAAAAAAAAAAGAATACAGTAACTCTCAGTTTTCTGCTTGTGTGGAAAATAAGACTCTTCTGGCAAATTGATATACTTCTATCAGATGAGTTTTTCCTTTTTTGCTTGGGTCAACCAATGTTCCATGTTAGGCTATTATTACTGTCCTCAGCCTAGGCTTAAAGCATAGTTTATTATTTGAGTGGTCCAACTGTACAGGCATGATTGTGTATGTTTGGGAGTTGAGGTGTAAATTGTATATTTCTAGATACTACCTTTGAAGCTCAGTTGCAGAGTGGCTTAATTTAAAAATACACCTTTTGAGTTCATATTTCTGAGGCTACTGACCAATCATAGGGGCTTTAAGTATGTGCTTTTTTTTTTCTTGATAGGAAGGAAGAGTTATTAAAAGGGATCTATGCAATGGGATTTAACAGACCATCCAAAATCCAAGAGATGGCTCTCCCTATGATGCTGGCCCACCCGTGAGTTTCCAGGGCAGTGCTGTTCCAACTTGGTTTTTAGTCTGCTGTATGCAGTTTATGCCCAGGTGTCTCTCTTTTCTACAGACCCCAGAACCTCATAGCCCAGAGCCAGTCTGGAACAGGAAAAACAGCTGCTTTTGTCTTGGCAATGCTAAGCAGAGTTAATACCTTGGAATTGTTCCCACAGGTAAGAAAAGGTTGAGGGAGAAAGGGGAATGCTTGCAATGCCAGTGATATTTTAGTAATGGGCGATATTACTGCCATGGTGTGATAGCATTTCAAATAGACATTCTTTCATAAAATCCCAGAGCATTGGGCAGCAGGATGGAACAGTGATAGGAGCACAGGCTTTATAGTTTGGTTCCAATCCCAGCCTCTCTACTTACTAGTAGAATGTCTTAGGTGAGTTAGTAGAGCATTTCAAGTCTGTTTCCCTGTCTGTAAGGATAACATCTATAAAGGCATGGATCATTCCTGACTCTGAGCACAGTGCCTGGCTTGGTGAATGAATGAATGCCTCATAGGATTGTCCTATAGATTACATAATGTACCTCTTTCACCCTGTGCTTGGTCTGAAGTAAGCATTCACTAGTGGTGGCCGTATAGCTGTCGGACCAAAGAATCACCCCGCCCGCTGCTTCCTTTAGCAGAGGGGAGACTGGGGCTTGGAGAGGCACGTGTCTCACATGAGGTCACAGATGTCCGAGAGTGGCTGAGCAGGGACAGGAAGTGCACTTGCCCTTCTCTTGGTCTAGCTTCCACTTTTGGAAAGTGTCTGGTATTCTTTCCCTGTTATTTCCACGCTGTGCTCATCAACTCATGTGACAAGCTGACGACCTGAGTATTGAGCGCACCCCATGCAAAGGGTTCTTTCGGGAAGCTTACAGCTTGATCAGCAAGATAAGCTGTGGGCGTGGGTGACTGATGCCTGGTGTATGAAATTTTGTGCTTTATTAGATAGGTTCACTGAAATACATATTCAGGGTTTGGTACTGTGAATAAAAATTCTTCAGGAAAAGCTGGGCTTAAACCCATGTTGAGAAATGTGTGTGGAAACAGTTGTTAGTACCTTGTTTTCCTTTCCTCTGTATCACAGATCCTTAATCGAAGCCCATAAATGCATTAAGTATCATCAGTTTCTTCCATCAACATTTTCCTTCCTCAGCAGCCACCAGATATAGGGGGTTGGAGGTAACAAAGGAAAGAATTTTAGGGAATATTCTGCCAGAGGTGTATACAATGGATTGGATCAAGCAGGGAGTGTTCTGGAAACCAGCAGACTTTTAATAGCAGGCAAGAAATGATGGGGGTGACACTCAAGCAGTGATTCACCTTGCATTTCCTTTTCTTCTTGACTCCCAGCCTCCCTGCACCCCACTCTCTCCCACAGAAAAAAGCAGGATCTGTGGTTCTTCATAACTCTTTAGAGAGGAATATATAAAGGGTATTTCTCTGTCCTTCAGCCCCTTCTCCCTTCCCTTACTCGACATTCACCTCAGATCTATCAGCTGCTAAATTGTGTTCAACTGAAAATACTTTATTCAACCAAAATCTCCCAGTTTCACCTGTGTCTCCCTGTACGAATTTTAATTGTACTTCAGATTTGCACAATGGCTTTTGTGAGCCTTGTGACTTGCCCCTTCTCTCTCGCAGTGCCTCTGCCTAGCTCCTACTTATGAACTGGCTTTGCAAACTGGTCGTGTGGTCGAACGGATGGGAAAATTCTGTGTGGATGTTCAAGTGATGTACGCCATTCGAGGGAATCGCAGTATGTACCAGTAAGCCAGGCCTGGCAGAATTTTTAAATCCCGACTCGACCACCAGCAAGCATGTTCTGTACCTTCTCGGCTTTCTTGTCTCTAAAATGGGAGCTATCACAGCACCTGTGCCAAAGAGCTTTGACTAGAATTAAATGAACTGATGCAGATGCAGCACTGTGTACATGCTTGGCACGTAATAAAGACCCCGTACATGTTAGCTGCATCACTACCACATCCTGCAAAGATGATGGTTTTGGCTTTTTTTTGAGGCTCAGTTGTTTCGTGCAGAATAACTTGTACTGTGTTACGTTTTCATTAAAGTATTATGTGCGCGTAGCTGGAAAAGAAAGTCTTTAAAACAGAGAAGGTCAGAAGGTAAAGGTCTCGTCCTCCAAAAACCTGTTTCCAAGGATAGTAGTTTTGTTCACAGACTTTTGTGGTTTGCTTTCTTTTTTCGGTTCATACACATGTGGATGTACATGTATGTATTTGTTTTTGTAGAGTGTTTATGAAATTAGGAGCATTTTTTTCATAGTGTCTAAAAACGTATATGTTTTGGACATCATTCCATGTCCATTCATATAGTCCCACCTGATTGTTTTGACTAGCTTCATAGTATTCCATAATTTATTTAATGTAACCCATTGATAGACATTGTGCTTTTTTTCCACTTGGGGACAGTTGGTAGGTTTCTCACCACTGTGCCGGTGTTTCTGTAAGGCGGTGGGATTGCTGGAGGGTGGCTTTTTAACTGACCGTGGCGCAGAATCCAATAGGCAGGACTATTACTACCCTAAACCTAGAAACGGGGGGTTTATCCTAAAGCTCTGCAAAATCCAAATCCGCGATGACTCTCAGGGTTCACACCTGGAAAATCGTCACGAAATATACTTGCGCTTCACAGCCCAATGTTGCATGGCCCTGAATTGTGGACTGTGAGGGTCCTTTGCATCTGAAGGAGTCAATCAACCCTTTTCTCTCTAGTTCCCAGAGGCACCGACGTCACCAAACAGATTATAATTGGCACTCCTGGAACTGTCCTAGATTGGTGTTTCAAGCGAAAATTAATTGACTTGACTAAGATTCGTGTGTTTGTCCTGGATGAAGCAGACGTGATGATTGACACACAAGGATTCTCAGATCAAAGCATTCGTATTCAGAGGTAAGTTTCACATTCATCCTTTCTCTTCCTGGATCTTCGATCTGGAGGGGGAGTTTGATTTGTCTGCTGCTCCCAGTTGTCTTCACTGCTTGATTCCCCGCTTCCTTTGCCTCTAAAACAAATCTGGGCGTTCAGTATTTTCACCAGCTCAGCGGGCCCTTAGACTGCTGTCATTTTCCCACTTCTTTAGTTTGTCATCTTGCCTGATTGCTTTCACTGTTTGCTTTCATTGTTTTCACGACAGGCCTGTACGTGGAACCCAGCAAATCGTGCCACTAATTTTTCTAGTAAGAGCAAAAGTCTAAAGAGAATTTACTGAAGTCTGAGACGGCTACTGTGAGGCTAACTGCTAGAGAGAACACAGTAACCTGGAATCAGGAGCCCCGTGATCTAGTCCTGACTTTGCCTCTCATTTGTCAAGTAAATCCTCTTGTTTTCCTAGGCCTCTCTCTCAGGATCACCCAAGGGCCTTAAAATTACAGATTGCTGGGGCTAACCTGAGCCTCACTGGTTTAGAATTCTGGGATTGGGCTCTAGGAATCTGTATCACTTATTAAATTCAAATAGTACTAAGGGGTGCCTGCATGGCACAGTCGGTTAAGCATCTGACTCTTGGTTTCGGCTCTATCTCCCTCGGCCCCTCCCACTCATGCCCACCCCCCAAATAAATAAATAAATCTTAAAAAACAAAAAACAAAAAACAAACAGTACTGGAAGACCTGTAATGAAAAACAGTGCAGTGCTCCTTCTAGAGAATGCCTCTCTGTTCTGGTATTAACCCTCATAGTTTAAAGAGTATGCTCAAATGGCTATTTCTTAATGTGTCACTGTCTGCTGACTGCTAGTATAGGAAGTGGGAATCCAGCTCTTTTGTCCCACACCCTCTCCCCACCTTCCTGTCCCCTCTCCCACCTTGCTGTGGTTACAGTGTAAGAGTTGGCTACATTAATAGTGTTGTTATCATTAGGACATTATATTGTTCATTGTCACACAGCATATTACTATGATTATGTTTCTTCTTGTACAGCTGTTTCCCCTAGAATTAATAATTGCCTGTTTTCCTTCGTTTGGTTAGCATCACTGGGTAGGGACCCTTAATTTTTCTCTGCCCATTTCATCATATGTGTCGTGTGTCAGTGATATCTCCAAATAGGCAAATACATTTACAAACTCTGTCAATGTGTTTTTTTCCTGAAACTCTCACAACCTTTGTCCAGTTTCAGTCCACACTGGTCATACAGCAGTCACCGTAGGTCTCCCTGGCCCTCATTTACGGTTTGGAATCTCCTGTTTTCTGGGTGTTTTTCTTGGTTTACTGTCAGTTCACTCACTATCCAGGAGTATATCCTCTAGTGGCTTCCTTAAAATAATGTTGGGAAGTTCACTTTCTATCTCCCACATGTTTGAAAATGTCTTCATTGTGCCTGTAAATCTGATCTTTTGTTTGCTTGGATGTGAAATCCAAGTTAAAGAATTCTTCCCGTAAATTCAGAGTCAATGTTGAAAACAAAAATTTTTTTTTTTAAATACTATAGTTAATACTCTCAGTTCCAGTGTTGTTGCTGACAAGTTTAATGTCTTCCTGATCCCCAAACTTTTGTAGGTGATCTGCTTTTTTCTCTCTAGAAGCTTTTGGAATCTTCCTTCTTCACGGTACTCTGAAATTTCTCAATGATATGCATTGGCTTGGGTCCTTTTTATTCTCATCCCTTGTTCTAGACGTATAGTGCACTCACCCTGTTCATTTGTAAAACTTGTGCCTGTCAGATCGGGAAAATTTCTTAAGGTCATTTCTTTCCCTACAGTGACCAACGTTTTAGAAAGCAGGACACAGTCATGGCAGACAAAAAAAATATATAATAATATAGAAAAAATAGTCATACACGTGTGTTATTAAGATAAAAATATGGGAAATATATGTTTCTTTTAAATTATATATCACCCTATATTTTCTGTTACATAAATGCTACTATTTAAGCAAAACAACAGAACTAGTTAACAGTGGCAATTAGTCGTAATTATTAGTATGACTAATTAAATGAATAATATGTATGAGAAACAATGATATTTTATAATGTCATCTTTGACAGCAGTTTATTTTAATCTTTTTAAATTCATTATTGGATGCTTAAATTTTATACTCTGTGCCGTTGTATATTCTTAAGATACTCAAATATAAGACTTCTTACAAGGAGAATGTCAATACAGTAGGACTAATTAAAGAGCTGTTACCTGTGTTTAAAGACCCAACCAGCGGTGACCTATTTCTTTTTGTCTCGTAGTGAGGTAGGCTATTTCTACTCTTTCCCTTTCCTCTTCCAGTAATAATTCTTTGAACTACCTACAGCCTTCTTTTTTTGTATGTGGTGGGAAAACTGAATACAGTCCAATGTAAAATTCATTTTGACTTGGTAGCTCTGCTCTTAGCAAGTTCATGCTGACTCCTGCTATTAGTCCAGTGTGATGTCCTCTTCACAAAAGTGTTCAAGCATGGATTATTTAAGAGTTTACTTTCTAGCAACACTAGGTTTTTAAACACACCAGAATTCGTGTCTAGCTTTCTAGAAATGTCCACATCAACTCTGCAGGCTTTTTAGTAGATCAACTGTTTGTCGCTCTGATCCCTCGTGCTGAAAATCCACCATTTAGGTTATCCACATCTAAAATGTCCATCATTGGGTTGCCTGGGTAGCTCAGTTGTTAAGCATCTGCCTTCAGCTCAGGTCATGGTCCCAGGGTCCTGGGATCGAGCCCCGCATCAGGCTCCCTGCTCTGCGGGAAGCCTGCTTTTCCCTCTCCTATCCACCTTGCTTGCATTCCCTCTCTCGCTGTGTCTCTCTCTGTTAAATAAATAAAATCTTCAAAAATAAAACGTCCATTATTTTCAAACGCTCTGAAGTACATTAGCTACCATTGTGGTTCTCAGGGAAAATAGTGGTGAAGCACGTAGGCAATTTAGGCTTGGGAAGTCAAAGATGGATTCCAAGTTACAGTTTTTAGCAAAGGAATGAGAAAGTCTTGTTCAACTGGGCTGCCCTTCCTTCCTTCCTTCCTTCCTTCCTTCCTTCCTTCCTTCCTTCCTTTCTTCCTCCTTCCTTTCTTTCTTTCTTTCTTTCTTTCTTTCTTTCTTTCTTTCTTTCTT